ATATATTAGATCATCAGCAACCTGCGTTATGCAGATGACACACCTTGCTTGCTGAAACTGAGGAGGACCTGAGGCATTTGCTGCAGAAGGTCAAGGACTGCAGCCTTCAATATGCATTGAAGCTCAACATCAAGTAAACAAAGATTCTCACTACTGGGCCAAATAACAGCATCATGATAGATAGTGAAGAAATTGAGATTGTTAACAGTTTACGTTTGCTTGGCTCCACAATCAACACTCTTGGTACCAGCAACCAGGAAATCGAAAGACTAATTGCATTGGGAAAATCTGCTGTCAGGGACTCTCCAGAGTACTGAAGAGCAATGATGTCAGTCTGGAGACTAAGGTGCACCTGATCCAGGCCATGGTCTTCACAAATACTTTCTGTGCATCAGAGAGCTGGACAATGAACAAGGATGATAGGAGAATTGATGCCTTTGAGTTATGGTCCTGGAGAAAAAGTATTGACTGTTAGGAGAAAAAACAGGTTCATTCTGGAGAAGGTAAAACCAGGCTGGTCCAAGAAGGCAAGAATTCTAAAGCTCCATCTGACATACTTTGGTCATGTTGCAAGGAGGATCCAGTTCTTAGAGAGGGACATCATGCTTGGAAGGGTGGAGGGTCAGCCCAAGAAAGAAAGACCCTGTAGGAGATGGATTGACTCAGTTCTGGGTAATGGGGGTAGGTGTGTCGGAAATAATGAGATTGACTCAGGATAGAGCAGTGTTCAGAGCTGTTGTACATATGGTCCCTATGAGTTGTTAGCAACTTGACAGCACATAATAACGACATATATTAGATAGGTAAGTAGATAATGGAGCTCTGGTGGCTTCTTGTTTTTGTTGGGTTTTGTACCATCAAGTCAGAACTTACCCGTAGGTGAACCTCCGGCGGGTTTTCAGAGGCAGTTAAGTACACAGGAGGAGTTTGCCTATCCTTCTCCCATGGAGCAGCTGGTATCTTCGAACTGCATGCCTTTGGAATTGCAGTGCAGCTTCTTGCCACTAGGCCACCAGAGGTCTGGTGGCTTAGTGGTAAGGAATTGTGCTGCCAACCCAAAGGCACATGGTTTGAATCTACCAATTGCTCTCTACAGGAGATAGACAAACAATCTCCTCCCATGAGATTAACCACCACTGAAAATCCACTGAAGGGTTGATTCCAACAACAACTGAGAGAGAGAGAGAGATGATAGATGATAGATAGATAGATAGATAGATAGATAGATAGATAGATAGATAGATATGAGAGAGCGAGAGAAAGCTGAAACCTAAAAAGAAATCCATCGGGCTTAGGCAAGGCAATGAATCAAAGACTCTCAGAATTAGCTACCTGAGGTTACTTTGTGCCACCTGAGTCCCCAGCCTTGCTGAGAAACTCTAGTTGCCAGGATTTTTCCCCAGTAACTTTAACCAGAGGGAGGAGCCCAGGATGCAGAAGATAGATGATTGATAATAAATGGTGGATGATGGGTCACAGATGATGAATGGAAAGACACTGCAATGCACCTGAGACTTGTAAGTAATTCTTTGATTCTCCTTCACCTCTTTCAGTGGAGTGAAGCTAGCTTTGTGCTTTTCTCCTCCCCAAGGCCAGGCCAGGAGCTAGATTTAACACCGTGAAGGTTTTTGTTTGAGAGTATGCTCTGCTGTTCCTGCCACAACAACTAACTCAAAGATACAGAACAGCGACGTTCATTCAACAGAACGTTTATTGAGTCCTAACTAGGGGTTTTGAGGGCTTTGGGTTCAGAGTGTAAATGACACATGCTCACATCAGCTCACAAGGAGATTACAATCTAGTGGTGAACTGTCTGGCTGTAAACACAGACATAAACACACAAGTACATATCATGGTAAGAGTCATGAAGTAAAAGAAGTGTGTGGTATTCGAGAGAGTAGTAGGAGTAGGAGTCAAGAAAAGTTCTCTGAGATACTGACATTAATCTCAAAGCCCAAAAGGTAAAGATAGAGTAGTAAGAAAAAAAGAGCATTCCTGGTAAGAGAGTGAGGAAAGGGTAAGGAGAGCTTAGACCTTTGAAGAACATATGAACAGTGTGGCCAGAGAACAAGGAAGCAGCAGAGCAGGATGCCAAGAGGACACGGGGCAGGGAGGCCTGCTCACATTGAACAGGGTGCCACCTCTCCTGTGGAGGCATTTCCATTTTATTTTAAGTGCACTGGGCCATAAACGGAAAAACCAATTTACTTGCATTTCTCAAAAGTCACCCTGTAGAGTGGGTGGTCAGACAACATTGTGACTGTATTGTCACTGAATGGTGCATTTTAAAGGAACTGCTTCTATGTTAAACGCATTTTACTCCTACTTGAAAGAAAAGTCACTCTTCTCTGTAAAAAAGGAATGGGAATGGCAAAGACATTAAAATGGTAACCAATTAGAAGGCCATTATGGTCACTGAAGCAAGAGGTAGTGATGACTTGGACTCAGCTAATAGCAGTAGAGGCAGAGTAGATGGAATCAAGATACATTCTAACTGGAATTGATGGTGCCCTGAAGGGAGAGAGCAGACAGAGCATTGTGTCAAGCACTTCTCAGGAAAGTGTGGCATAGAGCATTTTGTGAAGCATTTCTCAACAAAGTGTGGCTTTGGCCTTGGCCTTGGCCAACTGGCTGGAATGGAAAAGGATCAGAAAAGGAGCAAGTTAAGCAGGGAGAGAGTTCAGAATTGCTCACGGTGAGATTTCTGTGAGCCAACCAAATGGAGAAATAAATTTGGAAATCATCAGCAATAACTGATATTTGGAAACAAAGGAATGGATGGAGTGGCTTCGTGGTAGGGAGTCGTGCTACCAATCCCAAAGTATATAGTTCAAATGCACCAGCTGCTCCAGGGAAAAAAGTTGAGCAATCTCCTCTCATGAGATTTACAGCCTCTGAAGACTTGCTGGAGGGTCAGCTATGAGTTGGTTCCAACTCAATGGCAATGCGTTGAGTTGTTGATCTACAAAAAGAGTATAGAGTGAAAAGAGATGAAAAAAGGATAAGAGAGTGTAGTCCAAGCCCTGGGAAAATGAAATACATCAAATATGGAAGATTGGAGGAAGGGAGCTGGAAAACAGTAGTTCAAAAGACAAAGGAGAAAACTAAGACATGTGATGTCACATAGGTTGAGAGGGAAGAATTTTTTTTTTTTATTTTTGTGTGAGTGTACCGTCAAATCAGATCTGACTGGTACAGGAGGAGATTGCCCCTCCTTCCCCAGCACAGCATCTGGTGGATTCGAACCGTGTGCCTCTGGGATTGTAGTTGCAGCTCCTGGCCATTAGGCCACCAGAGCTCCCCGGGAAGAATATTTTTTAAAAGATAAGTTTGGTCAACTTTTCAAATGTTTCTAAGGATCAAGCAATATGGAGATAGGTCATTGATGACCTTCACAAAGTCAACATTCATAAAGTGATGCATGTGGAAACTGGGTAGAAGTGGAGTTGAGAATAAGAAGTGAAGACAAAAAAAAAAGTGAAGACAGTTGGAACAAGTTCACTTTTTTTGATCTTGACTAAAACAGGAAGCAGGAGGATAACTGGGGAATGGCCGTCTTCTTCTTACTTCTTGCTCAGGTAATCTATAAACGTGTTCCATCTTTTCTCCCAGATACGCATGGCGGTCTTTTTCTCAATAGGCAACATGGCACTATACCTACAGGAGAAGAACCCAGGTGAGCCCCAGGGAAAGAAGGAAGGAACCAGACAAGAAATGTGAGGGGATCCCAGATGCTCAGAGAACACAATTTCTTCACAGCCCAAGAATGGGGAGCAGAACAGTAATACAACAAAACCCCACAGAGACCATCCAGTCTGCTACTCCAAATGCCCAAGACAAACACAAGTCACTCCACGATGGGGTTGGGAGATAAAGGTGGGAATGGGTGGTACAGATGTGCACAAGGACACTCACTTGAGAGAGTCTGTAGCCATCTGTTTGAGTGTCCTCAAGTCAGCGTCCATCCCGCCAATGCCCATGAAGGCCTCATAGAAATCATAGGTCAAGCCTTTAGAACCAAAGAAGGCTGGGTCATCAGAGCTGATCACAATGGGGTGTCCAGTGGCCATCAAAGTAGCTGCAGGGTGGTTTCTTAGGTCAGCCACTAACTTTAGAACCTGTCCAAGAAAACCAAGAAATCCATAAACTTGGATCCATAAAAAGAGTCATCACCAGTGAGGTGGGATCTGGAGTATCATCAGCTCCTTATGCTCAGTTTGACTATTGAGATGACTTCTGATACTAGAATCTGGTCCTCAAGCTCTTCTTGGCCTTTGCCATGTGTCACCATCTCCACAAACTTGTAGTCTAACTCTCTCTTGGTCCTGCTCAGAGCAGCAAGACAGTCAGGTGCTCAGAAGATACAAGAAAATGTTAGAATCATCACCATCTTGTTGTCCTTTCCTTCCTACTTCACTGGCCTCCACTATTGTCCCTTTAGCTTTACTCACCATTTGGCCCTAAATTCCAACTTAACAGAGATTCTCATGGCTGCCTCATTATTATGAGTGGTTTAGGCAAAAAGTCATCCTACAAACTTTTACTAATATGGTGAGAGAGTTATGGTGGAGGCTGAGGGCAAAGTCCACATTGGATTATTGCCATGGATCACACATACCTGATTGGAAATGGGACAGACTTCTATGGGGATATCCTTTCTCCGTAACTCTTCCATGACGGCTGGGTGTTTGCTCAAAGCAAATCCATGTCCAATTCTGGTGGAGTTCAGTATCAGGGCATCTAGAAGATTATAGTCTATGGAAGTACCCTGCCAATCTGGAGACGAAGAAATAGTTATCAATAGGGGTGGCTCTAACCTCAGAACATCTTCACACAAAGCTTCCAGAGCTCGCCCCCAGCAAGAAAGAATAGAGGAATTAACATTAAACACACACACACACACACACACACACACACACACACACACACACGCACATGCGCGCACATGCGCGCTCACGCACACACACTTATCCCTTATGCAATGTTAAAGATGCATAGGGTACTCGGTGCCTCCTCTTCACTTGTGTTTTTTAATAGATAAGGAAATTGTAAGTTAGACATATTTTATAAATAAACTGAAAATAAAGAGCATTCCTGGTAAGAGAGTGAGGGAAGGGTAAGGAGAGCTTAGACCTTTGAAGAACATATGAACAGTGTGGCCAGAGAACAAGGAAGCAGCAGAGCAGGATGCCAAGAGGACACGGGGCAGGGAGGCCTGCTCACATTGAACAGGGTGCCACCTCTCCTGTGGAGGCATTTCCATTTTATTTTAAGTGCACTGGGCCATAAACGGAAAAACCAATTTACTTGCATTTCTCAAAAGTCACCCTGTAGCGTGACTAGTAAGCAGCAAAACTGGAGTTCAAGCCTTAGGCTATCTGATCCCAGCTTCAAAACTGGGTGTGTTTCTTTCTTTCTTTTCTTTTTTAAAAATTTTTAAATTTTATAATGGATGGTGAAGAGATTGAGATTGTTCACAGTTTTGGTGTGTTTGGCTCCACAGTCAACACTCTTGGCACCAGCAGCCAGGAAATTAAAAGACGTATTGCAATGGGAAATTCTGCTGTTAGGGACCTCTCTAAAGTCCTGAAGTGCAACGATGTCAGTCTGGAGACTAAGGTGTGCCTGATACATGCCATGGTCTTTGCAATCACTTGCTATGAATCAGAGAGATGGACAATGAGTAGGGATTATAGAAAGAGAGTTGATGCCTTTGAGCTGTGGTGTTGGAGAAGAATATTGAATATACCATGAACTGCTAAGAAAATGAACAGGTTTGTCCTGGAGAGGGTGAAGCCGGGCTGCTCCTTTGGAGGCAAGGATTCTGAAACTTCTTCTGACATACTTTGGACATGTTGCAAGGAGGGACCATTCCTTGGAGAGGGACATCATGCTTAGGAGGTTGGAGGGACAGCACAGGAGAGGAAGACCCTTGATGAGATGGATTGATTCAGTGACTAAGGTAATGGGGGTAGGTGTGTCGGAGAGAGTGAGATTGACACAGGATAGAGCAGGGTTTAGGGCTGTTGTACACAGGGTCGCTATGAGTAGCGGACAACTCGACGGCACATAACAACAACAACAACACCGTCAAATCAGATCTGACTGGTACAGGAGGAGATTGTCCCGCCTCCAGCAGAGTATCTGGTGGATTTGAACTGCGCGTTTCTTTCTTTTTTAATAACTTCATTATATCAGTTATTTAAAACTAGGTTTCAAGGTCACATTTTGTTTTTTGTTTGTTTCTTGAGCAATATTCTAAGTAATTTGTGCTTATGATTTTTTGGTAACAAAGTATTGTAGCTTCTCTCATATATGAGTCTATTATACTTGTTTGTAGAAGACTGACTTTGTATACTGAACAGTGACCCGGGAACATGATTAATTCTAGGACCACAATGGTCACCACTAACTAACAAAGCCTCAGTAGTCACGGTTGGCGGTTCACAGCCCAGCCACCCCCACTCCATCTCCCTGGGTTGCAAGGCCCACTCTCGAGGGTGAGAATGCCGTCTCCTGAGTTTCCCACCTCCCTTGCAGCTAAGGCAGCCCTGATAGTGATCGGAGGTTTTCTGATGGAGGAGCTTCTGGAGCTTACTTCATAAGGAAAAGACATGCTCCAGGGACAATGTCTCTTCTTTTGCTTCCCTGGATATGGCCATACCTGAGTTGTGCCACCATCTCAGGGCCAAGTGGGGCAAAATCACCAACTCAATGAAGATACCAGAGATTACCTGTTACATGAGATAGTAACTGACCGTACTGCAAACCTGTATCTAGACATACACCATTCCCTGCAGCCAAAACCATCTTAACTGATCTACATGCATGTGAAAGATGAAAGTTTTATTTTTCTGTTAGAAGGAAATGAAAGAATTCTTTTTGCCAGTTCCTTTAAAACAAACAAACAGAACAACAACAACAACAACAAAATAACAACTGACTACCATCGAGTTGATTCTGACTCCTAGCTACTCTCCATTGGGATTCATCAGGATCTCTGTGGAGGGGAATTGCCCATCTTTCTCCCTCAGAGCAACTGGTAGATTTGAACCAATCATTAGAAGTGCAGCTGCTTTCATAATCTAATACTTTCTTTTTACCTTCTATTAAGGGAGCTTTGGTGGCCTACTGGCTAGAAGCTGCACTGCAATCCCAAAGGTATGCAGTTCGAATCCACCAGATGGAGAAAGAGGGACAATCTCCTCCTGTACCAGTCAGATCTGATTTGACGGTAGATGTACAAAAAATAAGAAAATAAAATTTCAGAAAAGGAATTTTTCCTTCTCCTTTAAATAAAGACAAGTCCAGGCAAAACTCTCTCCTGGGAGCATACATCTTAGGATTTTATTACATTCTGTGTTATATTTTCACATTGTTCTTTAATGATTTCATACAGGTAGCTAAGATCTTGCCAACTCAACCACAAACTCTTTAAACTCTCCCTGCTCCTATTTCCCACACACAATTCTTGAAAGCTCCCAGAATCGACTTTGATCTAAATTGGATCTAAATTGACTCAGAATGTCAGCAAAACAGATTAATGCACGTGGCACCTTTCCCTGAGAAACAGCCTGATAACACTGAGGTCTAAGCCTGGCTGTGAATACAAGCTTCCCACTGTTTCCTCATCCTCGCCTTGCTCTTCTGAGGGTGACCAGTGCCTTGGGCCCTGTGGGGATGACAGGGTGTGGAGTAAAGGCTCTCCTCTGGTCCACATCTCCATGTGAACAGCCCAGCTGCCCACAATCTTTAATCCTCATCTGAAAGTTCAACCACAATCTGGTACTCCTTTTGCATAAGGTTTATTACACTTTTTAAGGACTGGAATACACTAGAGACTGAGGAAGGCCACAGAAGGAGCCTTGGATTACAGAGCAATGGCTTGCCTAAAGGCACTTCAGAGACAATCACAGTAGAGATGCTGAGAGAAGACAGCGTCCTCAGCACTGATGTGCTGTCCACAGAAGCCCCTGAGATGACAGCGCAGGTGAACTCCAGACCCTCGCCTGTCACTTACTTAGTGTGACTTTGGACACGCCAGTTACCTTCTTGAGCTAAATTCAATCATTGTGAAATGAACACAGTGAAAGAAAGTTCCGAGGCTTTACTGCTTATTAGCACTTTAACACTGAACCAACAATCCTATGTTTGGGGCCTTGGACTCTATAAAAAAAATGAGAATAGAAAATACCAACCGAACAGGATGGGGTGAGTTAAAAAGTAACATGTATTATATGCTAATATATACAAGGTACTTAATAAGTAATAGCTATTACTATGATAAGGAACTCCGATGGCATGGTACATAATATGTTGGGCTGCCAACGAAAAGTTTGACAGTTTGAATCCATCAGCGTCTCTGAAAGAGAAAAATGGACAGTTTCCTTTTGGAAGTCAGGCTGTAACCAGTCTCAGAAACCTGACAGAGGGTCACCAGGAGTCAGAATCAACATGACAGGAGTGGGGTTTTGGGTTAGGGTGATGATCATAGTCATTTCTTCTCATGGAGATACTGTTAAGAACAAAGGAGGTAATGGGTATGAAACCTATTGCTGTCAAGTCAATTCTGACTCATCGTAACCTTGCAGGACAGAGCAGAGCTTCCCTCTTTTGAAGTCTGGAAATCCCTACAGAAGTAAACTGCTCTGTCTATTCCTTGTACAAGGGCTGGTGGGTTCACAACATTCACTTTTCAGTTAATACCCAAGCCCTTAACCACTGCACTGCCAGAGCTCCCTGCAACAAATATGAAAGGAAAAGAAAACAACTGTGGAGTCTTTGTTTGGTACAAATGGTTAACACAGCTACTAACTGGAAGGTTGGAGGTTCAAGGCCACTCAGAGGCATCCTGGTAAAAGATCTGCAAACCTATTTCTAAAAAACTAACTATTGGAAACCCAATGGAACACAGTCCTACTCTTAACATATGGGAGACTGCTGTAAGTTGAGGTTGACTGTTGATACCTGGAAAATAAAACAATTGTGGACTAAAATGATGCAATATTGTTACCACTGCCCTAGTATCCTACAAGTTCCCTTGGTTGATGGGAAAAAACTTTCTGGTCCATCACTTCCTCCTCTGGCTGCTTGGTCAGCTCACCTGTCTCTCCAGCATGTAAAAAGTATGGTAATTTAACACCTTCCATGGTTGGAATCAGCAAAACGTCCTTATAATCGTACAAAGTGTGGCCAGTGTCCTCACGTCCCACCTGCAAAACAGAGAGGGGGTGGTGGTGAGGGGAGTCTGCTTGACAAACACCTCACTTTGCTAGATGCGCCCTGCAGTCTTTAAACACTTTCCTGTGTACCTGCCACTACAGCATGATAAGACATGACCAGCAGCCAGGTTAGGAAACAGAAGAAAGCGTAATATTGTTCTAAAATCATTTCTCACTTCTCAGACCTTCCATATTCCCAGCTCTTTCCATCTTGTCTGCTCATGTTATGTCTGCTACAATGCTGAGTGTGGTGAGTGAGTGAGTAGGGGATGACAGAGGGAGAGGGATAGATAGACAGAAAGAAAGAGACGGGGGGGGGGGAAGAAGGAAGAGGGGAGAGTGGGAGAGAAGAAGGGAGGGAGGAAGGGAGAGAGGGAGGACCTTGAATCAGGACCAAAACATCCGGGACCCATCATCACCTGTGGTTCCTGCAGGATCTGTTTACCTCTTTATGACTCATTCACTGGACTTTAAAATGAAGAACAACTAGATCCAAATCCTACTTTTCATACTATACAAGCCCCCCAGGAGTGTTCTGCTCTGAATAAGGGAACATCAGGATTAAAAGCACGCCTCCTACAGAATACCAGTTTTCCTTGGTGGAGGTAGAAAGGTATGTGAGTGTGGGAATGATACACTTTTACAATAAAGCAAACATGGACACTCAATAGGGTAGAATAGAACGTAGACCTGAAAGAAAATGAGAGCTTGCAAGTTTTACTAACTCAGCATATGTGTCCATGACACGTACTTGTATAGGGGGCTGCATCATTAAGGTGGCCCACACAGGGAGCTCTCAACTTCAGTTCTGACTTCTCCTGCAGCCTCTGTCAGAGCAGGGTCTCTTACCCCTTCTGCTATGCACGAGGATACCAGGAGGACAGCCTGAGCCTACACTAAAATGATTCCCCAAAATCTATACCATTGTGTTCTGTTTGATTAGAAGGCAAACACTGACAGTCTCAGCTAACATGTACAGATTGTCTAAGAAAAAGACTTAAAACTCATTGCCATCAAGTCAGAACTGACTCCTCCAGTGGGTTTTCAGTAAATCACACAGGAGACTGCCTATCTTTCTCCCACAGCTGGTGAATTTGAACAGTATGCCTTTGGATTGTAGAGTAGCTTCTTACCACTAAGTCACCAGATTCTGTAATTACATTGAGCAATTGACTACAGTAAGGAGCTGTCACTTGGGTGGACTGTTAAGGTCAGCCTGTGAGGAACAGCAGCAACAACTCTGAGTTTGTAAAAACCTCAAACCCCCAAACTCACTGCTGTACAGTCAATTGTGACACATGGTGACACCCCACTGCTACCACCATGTTTTCCGAACTGTAATCTTACTGAGAGCAGATTGGCTCACTCTCTCATGGATTTGAACAGCTGACCTTTTGGTCAGCAGCCTGACACTTCACCCATTATTCCACTAGGGCCTCCATGAGGGGGAAGAAGTTATTATTTAACAAATTTCTGCGTGGGCTGATAGGAAAGGCTTGTAAATAGATCATGGTGCTGGTTGCACAACATTGTGGACGTAATTAATGTCATTTGGCATTGTACACTCAGGAGCTCTGGTGGCCTAGCCCACGGAGAGTTGCTCTGCTAACACAAAGGTGGCACCATCTCTGACAGTTCAAATCCACCAGCTGTTCCATGGAGGAACGACAGGCAATCTCCTCCCGTGCGATTTACAGCCTCAGAATACCTTCTGGAGGGTCAGTGATGAGTCATTTTGGACTCAACAACAATGAGTCAAGTTGAATTGCATTGCATACTTAATGTTGTTCTGTGTACCATCAAGTCCAAATCGACTTGTTGCTAACCCTACAACAGGTTTCCAGAGGCAGTAAATTGCATGAGAAGAGATTTCCCATCTTTCTTCTGTGGAAAAACTGTGGATTCAAACAGTATGCCTTTGGGTTGGCAGCACAATTCCTTACCACTAGGCCACCAGAGCTCTGCATACTTAATAGTGGTTAAAATATTACCAATTTTATTATATATATATTTAGTTAGTTAGTTTTCCATTTAGTTATTTATTTATTTTTTGTTATTATAGGCTGCCGGGTCAGAGCAACTGGTAGATTCAATATGCCTTTACAATGGCAGTGCAACTCTTTACAACTAAGCCACCAGTGGTTGTTGTGGTGGTTGTTGTTGTGTACCATGGAGTCGGAACCGACCCACAGGTGAGCCTCCAGTTCTATTTTCAGAGACAGTTAATTCCATGAGAGAAGATTTCCCATCTTATTCCCACAGAATGGCTGGTGGCCTCGAACCATGTGCCTTTGGGATTACAGCACAGCACATTGCCACTAGGCCACCAGTGCTTGGGAAAACAATTAAAAGTGAAAAGAGAGGAGCTCTGATGGCCTAGTGGTAAGAAGCTGCGATGTGATCTCGAAGGCTCATGGTTTGAATCCACCAGATGCTCTGCTGGAGAAGGAGGGGCAATCTCCTCCTGTGCCAGTCGGATCCAATTCGACAGTACACAACAAGAAGGGGAAAAAATATGGGAGAGAAAGGTATATCTATTTTACCTCAATCAGGGGAAAAAATCAAAATGGGAAAGAGATGAGAGGAAAAAGGAGGGGAATATTTATTTTCCCCTGGGTCTAGGGTCACCTTAGAGAGCCCTGGTGTCCCAGTGGCAAAAAGCTGTCCTGTGATCCTGAAGGAACGCAGTTCAGACTCACCCGCTGCTCCACAGGAGAAGGACGGGCAATCTCCTCTCGTGTGATTAACTGCCTCTGAAAACCGGCTGGATGGTCAGCCATGGGTTGGTTCCGACTCAACAGTACACAGTAACAACAGTGTCACCTCAGGTTCTACTTCCTGACAGCCCTCTTGTGGGCTGTGAGGATGGCAGGTAATAGAGTCAGGACTAGATGAGCAATTTGGGCTAGAAAAGGGGTGAGAGAAGCCAGGAGAATGTGGAACGAGTCGTTAATTCTTGCCAAACTCCCTGAATTCCTTCCTCATGCTAGAACTTCCCCTTTCTGCAGCCCAGCTCTGTCTGCCCTCCCTCCTCCAGGGCTGCCATCTCTGCAGCTCCTAGACTTAGTTGCTGCTGGCCTCTGGTCAGGCTTGTGGTCAGCCTGAGTCTCCCCCAGCATTTCCGGGTGTACAGCTCCACAAGTGGTCCCTTCATGAAGCATTGCCTGCCAGATCCCTTCTGCGCACAGTGACAGGAGAAAATGAAGTCACGTTACCAGGTCAAAGCCAGCAACCATCGTGGGAAAATCAGTTCGAAGCGCCATAGCTGTTCTGATGGAGTCTTTGATGAGACGTGCAGCCTTGGACCTGAGAGAGACAGAGAGATGCAGAGACAGTGACGTGGCGTTGATTGCCTCCTTGCTACCACTGGGCTCATCTAGTCTTAGTGCACAACAACCATTTCCCAAACTCTCCAGCCTCTGCCTACAGCCCTGTTCCCACCAGGTTCTTGACGACTCTTTAAATGACTCCATCCAAGAGATAGTCTCCCATATTCATTTCTATCAGAGATCCCAGCTGACTCCAGAAAGGTCCTTCATCTCTGAAAAGGCAGGGTAGACGGGGGAGGGTCTATGAGGGCAATGTGTCTACAGGTGGAGGAAGCAAAGAAGCTTTGTCCAAAATTTTCCAGGCTTCCCTAGGACGATCCCCAGGCCCTAGACATGGGTCACTCAAGTTCAGTGCTTTATGAACAACCATATGCCATCTTCTTCCACTGATCCAATCAACAATGCCTGGGGCAGCCACTGGTTGTGGGCCCCCAGAGACATTTTGTTAAACTGTCTGACCTCCCTTTTGCATCCCTCTCTCCCTTCAAGCTCAGGACAGGGACCAGGACTAGCAGTTTAACATCAAAAGCATCAAAAGACAAATATTTGTCACCACTCTGTGACAGGACAAAGAGCTCTGCTCAATTCCATGGGAACCAAGATTGTCCTGCTCTCCAGTGTCCCCACTTCCTCTCTCCAGAGCTCTAAGGGAGCAGAAGCCCATCTTCTCACAGAGCTCGCCCTTACACACACCTGGCCTTGGCCTTGGCCCTAGAGCGACAACTGTCACCAGAAAGCCTTTGAGTGGGACTGACCGGGCCCCATCCTGTACACTCCATCCTGGGCTAATAAGCCCATGCACAGGGTCTCACTCCTGCAGCGCCTCTGGGTCCCCACCAGGAGGAAAGGGGCTCAGAGAGAGCAGGAGATGAGGCTCCTCGGAAATCTCATCATTGCAGAGCCAGCCTCCCAGGAAAATCAAATGAAACCAGAAACAGTTGTGGGCAGTGTAGAACTGCACACCATAGGATTTCAATGCCATGACCTTTGAAAGCAGATCATTAGACTTAATGCTTCAAGAGGAACTCTGGTAGCTTAGTGGATAACATCTTGTGCTGCTAACCCAAAGGCCAACAGTTTGAATCCAGCAGTTCCTCTATGGAAGAAAGATGATTAATTTATGCCTGTGCAATTTATAGTCTCTAAAAACCCACTAGATGGTTAACTAAGATTTGGTCTTGACTCAAAGGCACATAACAACAACGTTTCAAGGCATGTCTGAGTGGATTTGAACCATCAATACTTTGTTAAGTAGAAAACATAGTTTTTCCCACCCAGGGACTCCTAGCTACGTGAGAGAACTGAGTGAATGAAGATACGGCTGTCCTCTGGACTGCAATCCTGGCCCACCCTGGCTGGAATGATGCCACTGGCTACTGCCTCTTGTGTTCCCGGACATGCGCAGGCGACAGGCCTCAGTCTGAGAGTTCTTTGACATAAGCAATGAGCTCCTCACTTTGGAGAATAAAGTCCTAAATCTTTTTGGGCTTGTCTTGGGGAGGGGCTCCATCCTTTCTTCACACCCCCAAGTCACACAAATACCACTGTGGTATGGTCTCCACTCATGAGGCTAAGCCAGCAGTACCCACGGTCTCCCCATTTGCCAGGGCCTTTCCCACAGCCACCAGAGGGGGACATTTGACTGAACTTAATGACAAATCACAACAAAGAAATTGGCATATTAGCCAAATATCCAGGCAAAAATCACATATCCATAAGTGTGTCACTCAGGCCCAAGTGGGATCAGAGCTAGAATTTTCTGGAATATTGCCACAGTTCTCTGTTTCCATTTGATTGTGGAGATCTGAACTAGAGGTGATGTCAGAGCACATGGTGGGCTCCAACGTGGCCCCATGCACCGATGGCTGCCTGAGATCACCTGTCTGGTTTCTCACCTTCCAGCCTCCAGGTGGGCCCCTCTAGCCACCTTCTATCATCCCTCCCCAGCCTGGCACCTGCCTCCTGACTCTTGTAGCTTCAGCCATGACTCCATCACCTGTGGTCCGAATAAATGAGCTTGAGTCCAAGAAACTCAGGATGATCCTTTGCAAACTGCTCAGCCACTTCTTTGTAAGTCTTCACACACCAGCTACTATTGTGGATTTTCCCATTCAGTTCATACACCTGCGAGGGAAGCATGGTGACAAGCAGACATTAAAAGTGGCCAGAGCAGGGTGTCATTCCCCACTGCCAATGCTCTAGACACCTCATGGGTTCTGTACTTTCCCTGTTCATTGACGAAGCCACTTTGCTCCACTTCCTTCTCCAATACATCTGTAACACCTCCAAGAAGCCCTTCTTTTTGTGACTCACAAGTTTGTCCTCTCTAGGTTTACTTCCTTTCCTATAGGTAACCTAAACACTGAGTCTTGCTCCAGATGCAAACCCTGAGACCAGTTCCAGAGACAAAAGGGAAATATAATTGCCAGCTAAGGAAGTGAAGGAGGATGGAGCCTCAGGGTTCAGCCAACCATCCCCACTGGACTCACCTTGGAAAATATTTTGCAGTCCAGAGGGCAGTAAATGTCAGGAATATATCTTCTAATTAAACAAGAAGGCGTGCAGCTTCAACTCAGGACCACCAGTAAAGTGTTAAAGTGGAATCCCTTCCCCCCTTCACCTCAACATCCCTGTTCAGCATAAAGAAGCCAGAGAGTCTGTGCCCCATTCTCAAATGAGAAACCCACAAGTGTATAAGACAATTTCTCTGTTAAAAAGAAAAAAATGAATCACCATGGACTAAGCTCACCATTACCCTTTCTTTTCTGGTTCCCACTGGATCTTTCTCATTTCGTTCACTCACTCCCTCCAGCCACCAAATTGTGCAGCCCTGTGATTTCATCCCTGCCCATCCTCACTCTTCTTCACCCAACCCTTAACCCCTTGTATCCCCACATATGTTTTTTTACAATAAAACACACACACACACACACACACACATATTTACAGTCTTGGGAATTTGATGGAGCAATTCTGTTCTTCTAGGGAATAGATTCGATAGCAGAGGATTTGGTTCTGGGGTTTGTTCATTATGGGGCTTCTGAACCTAGGACATGTGCCTATCACACAGTGGAAAGCAAAACAGCTACTGTCCTCCAAGGGCTGATTCCTACCCACGAGGTCCCACGTGTGTCAGACAAGGACTGTGCTCCACGGGGCTCTCTTGGCTGTAGCTTTATCATCACTTTGTTGTCTGTCTCTGGCTTCCCTCCAGACTGGCCATTGTGTGTACTGTGACCGCCTCCGCCAGGGCTGTGTCTCATCCTCTGGGTGTCTCCTCAGCCCTTCTCTCCCCAGGCCTCTTTTCTCTTTGATCTCCCAGTGTTCAGCTGCACTGCTTGGGTTGGGGGAAGTGGGGTGAGCAGACAGCTGCTTCCAGCCCCTCTTTGGGACCACTGGCCTTTGCACTTTGGTTTCCTCTGCTGCTGTCTTACAAAGCAAGGTGGCTGAGTGCCTTGCAGACCCCAGACTCCCTATGGTGAAGGGGGTTTCCTTGACTGTTTGGCCCAGGTTGGGCACACTCAGTATTATGGGATTTTCAAGCTGTCAGGTCTTTCCAGCGAGAGAGCTATTAACCATAATTACTGTTACCTGATTCTTTTTTATTGGCCGTTATTATGATTATTTACCACGAATGTTTCAAATGAGCTTTTCAACTTCTTTTTTCAACTTTCTTCAACTGACTTCTAGGCACTTTGTTCAAATTTAAACTCAAAGTCATTGCTGACAAGTCGGAACTGACTCATAACTGACCCTCCAGCAGGCTTTCAAGAGGCTGTATGTCATGGGAGAAGAGACTGCCCCTCTTTCTTCTGTGGAGTTACTGGTGGATCTGAACTACTAGACAGATGCCACTTTTGAGTTCACAGAACACTCTCTGCAGACTATGCTACCAGAGCAATTCTGTATTGTTATTGTTGTGTACTATCAAGTCTGAACCAACTCAGAGTTGTCCCTCCAACAGATTTTCAGAGGCAGTTCATTGCAAGGGAGAAGACTGATTATCTTTCTCGTCTGGATCAGCTTGTGGATTTAAACCACTTGCTTCTGGGCTGGCAGTGTAACTCCTTACCACCAGGCCACCAGAGCTCCCTGGAAGTATGTTGTTGTTGTTGTGGGCGCCTTAAAGTCATAGGCGACTCATAGCGACCCTATGAACAAAAGATCTGGACACTTGTATAACTTTTGTCCTTTCTCCAGGTTCATAGGGTTTCCAGAGGCAAGCTATTTCGGAAGTGGACGCCACTCCTGCTTCCAAGATTGTTTTAATCGGGAAGCTCCACCAAACACTGCCTGCCATGGGTAACCATTATCACATTTGACACATCAGTGTCACAGTGTTCAGCTTCACAGCAACCGCAGGTTACCTCTGTACAGCAAGTGGACAGAGCAGGGCTATGTTAGAACCTCCAAATTCTCAGTGCTAAAAGAAGATTTGAATAATATGCTTTAGCAAGGATTCTTCTAGTTCTCTTAGACCTGCTGCTATTTGTCCTTTCACCCATTCCCTCATGAGTGTACAGTAGAAATTTTCAGAAGGTGAGCGATATGTGGTGATGTCATTCTTTGCTGCTGTCCTTAATGGCTTGTGTGTTAGTATATGCTTGAGTTTTAGAAAAGTCTTTTTATTTTTTATTTCAGTACATATTTATTGATAATATACATATAAGCAAAGGCTCATAGGTATTCTCATAATTTTTAAGAATGTAAAGGAGTCCTGGGACTTAAAAGGCTGAGAACCAAGTTTGGAATTTCTACTATTCTATCAAGGAACTCTGGTGGTCTGGTGGGTAAGGAATTATGATGCTAAACCAAAGGTAGCTGATTCAAATCCAGCAGCTTCTCCATGGGGGGAAAAATTGGCAACCCGCTGCTGTGTAAATTGCAGTCTCTGAAAACCCACTGGAGGGTCAACTGTAAGTCGGTTCTGACTTGACAACAAAGAGAGAGAGATCGATCTGGTATCTCGTGGGATTATGAGCCCCTTGTGGGGAGGCAATGTAGTTTTTATCTCATCTCCCTCTTCTTACAACAGAGTGGGCACAGGGCACACCATAAGTAACATAAACAAGAATGAATTAACAGTGAGTAGAGGGTTGGTTGTGGGAATGATAGAATAGATGCTTGGAGAAAAGAAAGGGAGAGGGAGAATCTGCAAATGATAATTCTGACTGAAAGGAAATTGCTGTCAGATTAATCAAGTATGCAGAGATATGCAAATGAAACAACCAGAGACATGATGGGACTTGCATATGGCAGTGGTTCCAAGTCATCAATCCTATCAATCCAGTGCTCCTCTGTGGAGAAAGCTGAGACCCCTGCCTTCCAGGGTTCAAGCCTCACTGCTAGTTCCCATAGTATGGAACAGCATGAAGTCGGAATCTGGCTCCTGGGGCTGCAGATGCTGAAGCCACATGCAGAGCCGTCTCCTAGTCTACTGGTGCCCTTATTAAATCAACATCTGCCTGTACCCAGCCTTCCTGCAACTCTGAGCTCTTGCAAAGAAACTGCAGGCAGGACAGAAACATCTAGAATGAATCTGAATATTTAAGAACACCTCATGAAGGAATAGGAGACTTCATTCTGGGATGAGAGCAGACCTGCAGCTTCACCTAGCTCACAGTTACCATGGTTAGAGACAGCGAAAATGGTAGAGAAGGTTCTTAGCTGATACAGGAAGTCTGGGAAATTTCTCTACTCTGGCCCCCAGTGGAGCTCTGATCTGTCCCAAGTCAGTCATACCTCACAGAGTTTAGCAAGGAACAAATGAGTTAATATTTGCAAAGCAATTAGAAATGACTGATATTATTATTGCAGGCCTATCACCAGGTCTCAGAAAAGCAACTCAAATGCTATACTTGCCCTAGGAAGATGAATTAGTGATTTAGAATTCAACAGTTTGTAAGTATAGGTAATTGATACATAAAGCTGTTCTGTCTTTGGTGGCCTCGTGGTAAGGGGCTGTGCTGCAATCCTGAAGGCACACAGTTCTAATCTACCAGCTGCTCCTCTGCAGAAAGATGGGCAATTTCTTCCCATGAGATTAACTGCCTCTGAAACCCCATTGGAGAGTCAACTATAGAATGGTTCCAACGTGACAGTACATAACAACAACAGTGTGCCGTCGAGTCGCTTGCCACTCATAGCGACCCTATGTACAACAGCTCTAAACCCTGCTCTATCCTGTAACAATCGCACTGCCTGACACACCCATCCCTATTACCCCAGTCACTGAATCAATCCACCTCATAGAGGGTCTTCCCCTCCTGCGCCATCCCTCCACCTTATCAAGCATAATGTCCCTCTCCAAGGACCTGTCCCTCCTTACAACATGTCCAAAGTATGTCAGATGAAGCCCCAGAATCCTTGCCTCCAAGGAGCAGCCTGGTTTAACCCTCTCTAGGATGAATCACTTTGTTTTCTTGGCAGCCCATGATACATTGACTACTCTTCTCCAGTACCACAGCTCAAAGGCATCAATTCTCCTTCTATTCTCCCTAATCATTGTCCAAGTCTCTGATGCATAACAAGTGATTGCAAAGACCATAGCCTGTATCAGACGCACCTTAGTCTCCAGAGTGACACCATTGCTCTTCAGTACCCTGGAAAGTTCCCTAACAGCAGCCTTTCCCATTGCAGTATGTTTTTTTATTTCCTGGCTACTGGTGCCAAGAGTGTTGACCATGGAGTCAAGCAGACTAAAGTTGTTAACAATCTCCTGATGCTGCCAATTGTTCCAGTGGTGAGAATCTTTGTCTTCTTGATATTGAGCCTCAATGTTTAGATGATCTTAATTTTTAACTGAAGTTTAACTGAGAAACTAGTCAGTAAAGTATCCAAATTACATTGTTGTTGTTGATGATATGTTGAATCACCTGTGACTCATAGTGACCCTATGTATGACAGCTCTGAAGCCTGTCCTGTCCTGAGCCAGTCTTACTAACTCTGAAACATATACCCCCATTGCCCTAATTACTGTATCAATCCATCTCATCTGTGATATTCTTCTGCACTGTCCCTCCACCCTTCCAAGCATGATGTCCTTCTCCAAGGACTGGTTCCTACTGGCCATGTACCCAAAATATATGAGACAGAGCTTCAAAATTCTAGTCTCCAAGGAGAAA